TTTGTCTCAATTTTTTTTCCTTTTTTTTTAAAAAAAAGATTATTTTAAAGCTGCTTGCTAAGAGAAAAGATAATTGGAAGGCACTGGCAGCTATGTTTTAGCAGCCAGCATGCCTGGAACATGTTGCCATATAAATAGCTGTCAAATTCTCCCTCTGTTTATTTGCGTAGCTCTCTTTACATTTTTATTCCACCTTTGGTTCCCAGTTTGGAGACCCCTGAAGGAACAGACAATGGCAATATTTATATAAATAAAAGAGAGGAGGATAGAAGAGGACACAATGCCTTTTCAACTCACACTGGAAATATTGGATTTTATTAAATGCTCACCAACAACAACATCCTTTCGCAGTAAACAGAACAACAGCGGGAAGCCAATGTGAATTTGGCTGATTATAAAGCTGTACCGTTCAAATGTCCAGAAGAACAAGAAAATGTTTGGCTGCTTCTTAAAACCTTCCATAGAACTAGGGAGGGGGGGAGAATTTCGATTCAGTTCACATTTAAAGGTGAATCTGCCTAAAGCACACCACTTTCTTCATGCCTCGTTGCCTTTTCTCTAAATTGTAAAGTCCCAAACACTGCAAACTTTCTTCATGGGGGATTTGCTCCATCCCCTTGATTATTTTGGTTGCCCAAAACCTTTCCTGATTCTACAATTTGAAGCTCGAAAAGGGCTGCTAACCCCCAAGCTTCTCAGGGTGAAACATAGGATGCTACTGTCAGGGACCTTGCTGAGGAGGACGGCACTGAGGAAGAATGGTGGGAGCCACACACACACACCCCAATCCTGAATCTTCCCAGGAGCAGGAGGAAAGTATAGATTTGGAAGAGTGGTTTGCAGAGGGGCATAGTTCAGGAGTCAGAAGCTGGGAAATACTGGATGGGGAACAACTAGGTGAAGAAACACTGGAAGAGAGAGGGTTAACAGATTCACAGTTGTTGGACAGCATTCCTCCAATCTCCCCAAAGTCCCAAAGAGCTCAGAAAGTCTCAGAACAGAAAGCACAGAGGTTACAAACTCAGATTACAAGACGTAGGAGTGACGTAGATTAATAGGGATGGAAGGAGGTGTGATCCTTAATTGGGAGCACCGCCATTTCTAAGAGATGTGTTCTTTGTTCTCTCACTGTGATTATTAAAGTTTCTAACTGGTAAGATGTTCCTTTCTTTGATCTTCTTATCTACTGCCATGGGGGAAGGAAGCCGATTCCCATCTACTTTGGTTTCCAACCCTCTTGGCCCCATGGGCATATTCGGGGCCTCTCCAGATATCCTTTATTATTATTATTATTATCATGCATTCATGATGATTTGCAATCAGGGTGGTCACACGAGTTCCTGCTTTCATTACTCCTTGTTCCTGAGAAAGGTCTGCTTCATTTCAGTCAGCACAGGCTGCCATCAGCTTCCAGCATCATACCATTTGCACTGGGTGGGGCTGATGGACATTGTGATCCAAAACATCTGGAGCACACAAGTTTGGTGAGGGCTGGGCAGCCGCCTTGATCAGTACACCCGATTTTGCGTCCAGCTTTTGGTTGCTGTTGCTGCGAAAACATGGCAGAAGCGAAAACCCCCAAGTCCTGCCAAGGCAGAGTCTGCTCTTGATTTATTCGCCTTCTCGACGTAGCCATGAGAGTAAAGGGAATGTTAAAGTAACCCTGACAGATGTTTAAAAAGCCTGCAGCTGTTAATTAATGAGAGGCAATGCCAGGATGACTTGCTTTAATGTTCTCCTTTTATTCTGGTGGGGATCAAAGCAGTTCCAGCCAGGCGCTTGTACCAAGTGGGGTGATGGAGTCTGACAGCGCCAGCATCTTGGCAGGGCGAGGGGAGGGGGGAGCAGAGAGATAAGAGTCAGGGAGGAGGAAGGGAAGGGTTTTTTTTATTTAATTTTTAAAATAACGATGTTTTTGTAATCGCCGCAGCAGCGCACCCATGAATAATGGAGAGCAGGTTTCACCTGGCAAGTGAGATTTTGCAGCAGACGGGAACCGCTTCAGCCAGCCAGGAGGCAGGGGCTGTGTGTACCTTTTCGTATTAGATTTCTCTGTCAGGCTTACTAAAAGCCACCCGCCCACATGCCTGGAGCGACTCAGACTTGCCTCCAAACAGACTCATGGAAAGACTCTCCTCTTGAACCCTGGAGGGCTGCTTCCCAAAGTCAGTGTAGACCACAGAGTCTCAAGCTGTGGACCGTGTAGTTTTTCAGAAAGGTTGTGGATCAATCAAGAAAATGTCCCTGCTGACATGCACTTATACATCATGACTCAGAGCTGCCTTCAAAGAACATTGAAATTCTGCCTTATCCCGAGTCAGACCACTGGTTCATCCAGAGCAGAATTGCCTACACTGACTGGCAGCAGCTCTCCAGGGTTTCAGAGAGGGATCTCTCCCATCCCTAGCTGGGACCTTATACATGAAAGGCAGAATGCTCTGCCACTGAACTGTGGCCCTTCTCCTTGATACAGAAATCACAGAAACCTAGCAGGTTAGGCCACTGGTCCATCTAGATCAATATTTGTATACACTGACTGGCAGCAGCTTTCCAGGGCTTCAGACAGGGGTCTCTTTCAGTTCTGCCTTGAGATGCTCAGAATTGAAACGTGGGACCTTTTGCATGCAAAGACTTGCTGGTGCTCTCTTGAGTTGAAATGCAGGGCCAGGTTTACAGCCCTGCTAATATCTGGCCTGTTAGTTACTGCCTCTCTGTTCTCACTAGAGATTTAAAAGGCCATTGGTTGGCCATGGATCATTAGCTAACTCCCCGTTGCCTCGGCTAAAGGTTTCTTCTTTAGAAATGAATTATGTATCCTGCTGAATTGTCGCTGAGCTCCCATATACGTAATCCATTCAAAGCACACGGCTTCCCTCAAGGAATCCTGGGAACCGTAGTTTGTTAAGGGTGACAGGAACTGTCGCTCTGTGGAGGGGAACTACAGTTCCCATGGTTATTTGTGGGAAGCCATGTGCTTTGAATGGATTGATGCTTTTGAATTATGGTGCTGGAGGAGACTCTTGAGAGTCCCATGGACTGCAAGAAGATCAAACTTATCCATTCTTAAGGAATCAGCCCAACTCTTCGTGACCCCATGGACCAGAGCATGCCAGGCACTTCTGTCTTCCACTGCCTCCCGCAGTTTGGTCAAACTCATGCTGGTAGCTTCGAGGGCACTGTCCAACCATCTCGTCCTTTGCCGTCCCCTTCTTCTTGTGCCCTCCATCTTTCCCAACATCAGGGCCTTTTCCAGGGAGTCTTCTCTTCTCATGAGGTGGCCAAAGTATTGGAGCCTCAGCTTCACGATCTGTCCTTCCAGTGAGCACTCAGGGCTGATTTCCTCAAGAATGGAGAGGTTTGATCTTCTTGCAGTCCATGGGACTCTCAAGTGTCTCCTCCAGCACCATAATTCAAAAGCGTGCAACTGTTGTTAGGGGTGCAAAATTTCAACATTTGGTGCTGCCTCAGAACAGTTGCACGCTTCCGTCGCATTGAAAACAGCTTCTCCATGCGAACCAGGAAGTGTTCTCTCCAGGCAACAGAACAACTTTTCTTTTCTTATGTGGTCTCCTGGGTGACACGGACGCCATTAGGCAGTTGAATGTCCATGCATTCTCCGTCCATTTTCCTCTCTCCCACCCCACTCCAAGCCGCACATGTAGGCACCTCGGTTAAATCGGTGTTGGTCGTGTGGCTGGAGGAAGGCAATCACATTTTTTCTGAGGTTGAAAAAGCAGTCTGCAAGACTGCAAGAGGAACAATCTGCTACAGAGATGCCCCCCCCCCAGCGTTCTGTTCTGGTTAAACAGGTTTGCATACCCTCCAACATTTCTCCGATGAGAATAGGGACATCCCATTCCATAATGATGATTTTACTATTTATACCCCACACATCTTACTGGGTTGCCCCAGCCACTCTGGGCAGCTTCCAACAAATATAAAGACATAATAAAACCTTAAACTCTTTTTGGGGGGCTCAGAGTATTTAACCCGTGTTGGAAAACTGTATTTTGTTTAGTTAATATCCTTTCTCTTTTTAAAAAAGAAAAGAAACCCTCTGTCTTCTTCCATGTTTAGTGCTTTAGCATACAGCATACTCTAGTGGTGAAATCTCAGACTGGAGGAAGCGAGAAAAGAATAAAATGCCCCAGTACTCTCTCAGATGTTTAGACTCATAGAACCGCCGTGTTTAGTCTGGTCACGTACAAACTTTGCTTTTGGTTCAGTTTCTGGAGGGCAATCTTTGCAGTTCTGTTAGCAGACTTGTCGGAAGGGAAAGTGCCTCGGGGCATTTTTTTTTCCAGTAGGAGAACAAAGAGAACCTGTCCGACTTCAGCCAGAATTCGGGGATTTAGTCCCGCTGGTCCCATGCTGTGGATTTCTCTTCCAACAGAGGTTCAGCCGGCATCGGTCACGTCCAACGCCATACATTTAAAGCACTTCAACAGACATGGAGGATCCTGTGGTTTGCTAAGGGTGCTGGGAATTGTAGCTCTCTCGGCTCAGCACCCCATAGCAAACTGCAGTTCCCAGGATGATTTGAAAGTGGCCATGACTGTGAAAGTGGCATAAGACTGTTTTGCTTAGTTATTATTATTTTTATTGCAAATAACTGCATCTCATATTTTTCTCCAAGGAGCTTAGGGTGGCATGCATGGGTCTCCACCATTCTCATTAAATCGCTGCAACAACCCTGTGAGGTAGGGCAAGCTGAAAGGCAGTGACTAGTGGAACGGTCTCCCCTACCTAAGAAAACCATCAAGTCAGGAGAAGGCTTCTCATAGAGCTCTTCTCCCTTGAGCTGCTAGCTTTCTGTGTGAAGGGAATGCTTTGGTCTGGAGGAAACTTCAATCACCAGAGAACTTTTCTTCCCTCACTGCTCCCCAGCGGCAACCCAGAGTGCTACAACCAATCCACGTATCAAGCACCTCACTGAGGACTAGATCCTTGTTCCAGGATGCGCCTCTCACTGTGTCGTTGTTTTTCTGTGTTCCCTACAGGGATCTTGTTTACAATGCTTGTGTTCGGACCAGCCTGTGGATTTATCTTGGGTTCCTTCTGTACCAAAATCTATGTGGACGCCGTCTTCATTGACACAAGTAAGGAGGCACTTAGTTACAGGTGGTGGGTCTGTGCATGGCAGGGTGGACAGGGGGACCACTTGCATTTTGGAAGGTGTAGAATGGGAAGAGCCTGGCTTGCATAATTGCAAAACAAAAAAAACTTGCAAGCATTTTAGGCACATTGAGCAAGGATTGTAGCTCTGGATGGCTCACAAGTTTCGCATGCAGAAGGTTCAATCCCCAGCATCTCCAGGTGGCACTGGAAATCCTGCCTGAAATCCTGGAGAGCTGTTTCCAGTCAGTGTAGGAAATACTGGGTTAGATGGAGCAACGGTTTGACTCCATATAAGGCAGCATCTTATGTTGGGGAAGGGCCATTGATCAATGGTAGAGCATCTGCTTTGCAGGCAGAAGGTCCCAGGTTCAACCAGAGGTGGACCTCCGACAGCATCTCCAGGAAGGGCTAGGAGAGAGCCCTGCCTGAAATCCTGGAGAGCAGCTGCCAGTCAGTGTAGGAAATAGCAGGTTGGGCAGACAAGGGTTTGACCTGGCAAAAGTCAGCTTTTTACCTAAAGCATATACTCAACCACGGAGCTGTGCTTTCCCCCTGAAAATAACTTAAGACCCCAGTCCCCATTTTTTGGCAGAGGGGGGAAAGTGTTGATTTATTTATTTTATAACAATTTTTATTAATTTTCCAATTATAATCCAATGATAGCCTCATTATAACAATGCCAGTTTAAAATACAATTACTAATATCAATCATTCAAATACCAAATTATATAATTTAGATAAGTTGCCCCTCCACATGCTAGAATTGATGATTCTGATGATTTTCTTTATTTCTGCGTTCCAAAATCTTACTGACGTTCCAGTCATAATAATCCCTTATACAACAGCTGCAATATTTATAACTTCTATTCATGTTGACACATTAAATAATTTATAAGACTACAAGTGAAGATCTCATACTATATCATTGTTCTTCCTGTGTGTGACATTTATTCTGTCCGTATCGTTTCTTCCCGTCCTTGTAAATTGTTATGTCTATCTTTTGCTACTATCCATCATACCTTGAGCGGAGCTGATATCCCAATGTGTTCCAAAAATTTCTCCCTCACTCAGTCACTCAACTTTAACAATAGCTGCAAAACTTGCTGTGTTGATTTAAGCCACAGCATATGAATCTGCGGACGCGGGTGGCGCTTTGGGTTAAACCACAGAGCCTAGGACTTGCCGACTTGCCGCTGACCTTCTGGTCAGCGGTTTGAATCCCTGCGACAGGGTGAGCTCCCGTTGCTCGGTCCCTGCTCCTGCCAACCTAACAGTTCGAAAGCACGTCAAAGTGCAAGTAGATAAATAGGTACCACTGTGGCGGGAAGGTAAACGGCGTTTCCATGTGCTGCTCTGGTTCGCCAGAAGCAACTTAGTCATGCTGGCCACATGATCCGGAAGCTGTACACCGGCTCCCTCGGCCAATAAAGCGAGATGAGCGCCGCAACCCCAGAGTCAACCACGACTGGACCTAATGGTCAGGAGTCCCTTTACCTTTACTTTTTATATGAATCTGCACAATAGCATTGGTTCATTCCAGGTCAAGGGAAGTACTGGGCTATTCTCTATTCTGCCTTGGTCAGACCCCACCTGGAGTCCTGTGTCCAGTTTTGGGTGCCACAGTTTCAGGAGGGTATTGACAAGCTGGAACATGTGCAGAGGAGGGAGTTGGGTATGTTTAGCCTGGATAAGAGGAGACTGAGAGAAGATGTGATAGCCATCTTCAACTATCTCAAAGACTGTCACATGGAGGATGGAGCAAGCTTGTTTTCTCCTGCTCTGGACGGAAGGACCCAAACCAATGTATTCAAATGACGAGAAAAGAGATTCATGGAAACTATCAGGGAGAGCTTTCTGACATTAAGAGCTGTTCCAACAGTGAAACAAAGTCCTGCGAGAGGTTGTGACCTCTCGGGCTTTTAAGCAGAGGTTGGATGGTTACCTGTCATGGATGCTTTAGCTGAGATTCCCACATCTCAAGGGGTTAAACTAGACGTCCCTTGGAGTCCCTTCCAACTCTACAGTTCTATCATTCTTCGGGGTTTCAAGCGGGAGTTTTTCCGAGCCCTACCTGGAGATGTTGAGCATTGACTCTGGGGCCTTCTGCACACCAAGCAGATGCTCTTCCGCTGAGTAACAAGATGCTCTCACATGGGGATAGACCACAACTCCCCTCAGCCGGAATGGCCACTGGTCAAAGATAATGCATGGTGACAACAAAAACTGGAAGGCACCACATTCACTACCCTCCCAAACTGGGAGTAAGAGGCTAAGGTGGGCTATCAAGAAGCAGTGGCGAAGGAAGGCTCTCTGGTACCCGGTGTGGGGTGTCAAGGGGCGGGGCAAACCGCCCAGTGGCGCATGCGCAGTGCCGATATGGACGGCGCATGCGCAGCACTGATACCAACGACACATGCTCGGTGCAGATACCAACTGCGCCACTGGAGCACCCATACGGGCAGCGTTCGAGCGGCGTCCATATGGACAGTGCTCAAGCGGCGCCCATAACGGTGGTGCACGCACGCCCACAGCCGCCCTACAGTGTGTGTAGCTCTTGGCCGGCTGCCATTTTGTCAAACCCCTCCCTCAGGGTGACACCCAGGGCAGACCGACCCCCTGACCCCCTTCCTACGCCCCTGTCAATAGGGGCACAGCCTCACTTCTGGGCGAGTCTATTTGTGGCTGCCAGCATTGAGGACTATGTTCTGCCTCCATACCTGGAGGCAATAGCGTTTCTGAATCCCAGTTGGTGGAAACCTCAGGAGGGGCGAGGGCTCTTGTGCTCAGGTCCTGCTTGCAGGTTTTCCTTTGGGGGCATCTGGTTGTCAGGAGTTCAGCCTACACTCGAGTAGGACTCTGGCAGAGACACATGCCTGACTGGCATGTTCTCTCCCTCCTGGTCTTTCGTTCGGGAGCTTCAAAAGCTTTCTTCAGCCCAAGCATCACAGCGACCAATGCCAACCGACACCGGCACTTTTAGGGATCCACAGAGTTTGCACATCATGTGTGACAGACTCAGCATTTTGGCTAATCTACTTTATTTACATATAAACACACACGGAGCACTGCAACATGGCTCCCTCTCTCTCTAGCATCAGACAGCAAAGAGAAAAAGAACAAAGGACAATAGTCCCACTTCACGGAACACAGTAACACAAACATCCTGTCTTTGTCACTTCCCACTCTGTGGATTCAAAATATACGCCATCGTGTGATAGACATAAATCCCATGACTGCAATCACGGAACAGGAATTCAACCGGTGGGTTGGCCACTGTGAGAACAGGATGCTGGGTTTAGATGGGCTATACCCTGATCCTGCAGGGCTCTTCTTGTGTTCTCACGGTGCAGTTCTGGGAGGCTTGCCAAAAATAAACAATTTAAAAATATCAGTTGCTTTTGCTGCTTATTCTGGAGCAGCTGATGCGGCTGCGAACAACTTGCAATTTCTTTTCTTTTTTAAAGGAGACCCCTGTGGCCAGCAGAGGGAGCTATAAAGTAACTCTTTCTCCATCCCCACCTGGTTTCCTCATCCTTTCATCCTTCCTTGCCTCGCTTTGCAGCCTCGCTTTAAATGGCATTTCTGAAGTTTCCATAGATGTCTAGACACACCCCAGCTTGCTGTGACCATAATAACCATAAACCCAACCCTTTGGGCCTGGAATTTATTTTCTTTTTTAAAAAAAACAAACTCCAATGTGATTGCTAATATATTAGCAGTATATATTGCTAATCACGTTAATGGAAGGTGTAGTTAGCACCCCACCACCACTACCATGTGTAAGTTTTCTTACTGGCATAACAGCTGGTGTAGCTCAATGGCTAAGACAAGAGAAAAGGGCCACATTCCTTCTTGGGGAACCATCTGGGGGGCCACAGGTGGGCTGGGCCAAAGGCAAAAGTGGGAGGAGCAAGGAATCAAGGCTACATTCCAGCCACACAAAAGGCAGCCGTTATACACCCTGATGCCCAGAAGCATTGCCGCAATTCACAGACACATTCCAGGCGCATTTCAAATTGTAAGCTCCTTGCAGCAAGGACCTGCCTCCTCGTTTTCCCTCTGATCTTTGTTTTATCTTGCGCCACCAAGGCACTCGACACTTTGCCAGCAGGGAAGCCCTCGGCTCAAGTCATTCTTTCCTCCTGGAGTAGGAGAATTAGAATACTGGCCTACTATGCAAGGTCCTTGTAAAGATTGTGGCATGTGCAACATAGACTCCAGGGTGCTACTCAGATGTGGCCATAGCATTTCTGTCCTCAAGTTGTGGTGTACATAGGAAGGTGACTTCTCTTGGTTTATCTAGCTCAGTACTGTCTGCACTGCTTGGCAGTGGCTCTCCAGATTTTCAGAGCCAGAGTCTTTTTCAGCCCCACCTGGAGATGCTGAGGATTGAACTGTCAGGAGTTCAGTGTACACACGAGTAGGACCCTGGCCGACTGGCATGTTCCCTCCTTCCTGGCCGATCGCTTGGGAGCTTCAAAAGCTTTCTTCTGCCCGAACATCACAGCGACCGATGCCACCCGACACCGGCACACTTAGGGATCCACAGAGTTTGCGCATCATGCGTAACAGACCTCAGCAACTCCCACGGAGCACTGCAACATGGCTCCCTCTCTCTCTAGCATCAGACAGCAAAGAGAAAAAAGAACAAAGGACGATAGTCCCACTTCACGGAACACAGTAACGCAAACATCCTGTCTCCGTCACTTCCCACTCTGTGGAGTCAAAATATACGCCATCATGTGGTAGACATAAATCCCACGACTGCAATCATGGAGCAGGAATTCGAACATGAACTTGGGGCCTTCTGCATGCAAAACATGTGAGCTGTGGCATTTCCCTCAAATGTCATAATAAGATACCAGTCCTCAGGGCTCTGAAGAATCATAGAATCAGGGAATTGTACAGCTGGAAGGAACTCTGAGGATCATCTAGTCCAGCCCCTTGCAATGCAGGAATATGCAGCTGTTCCTTACAAGGATCGAACCTGCAACCTTGGCATTTTCAGTACTGTGCTCTAACCAGCTGAGCTATTGGAAGAAAAAACTGATTAAAACAGAAGTGTAGGAAGCTGCCTTATACCTAGTCAGACCATTGGTTCATTAGCTCACTGTTTCCCAAACTTGGGTCTCCAGCTGTCTTTGGACTACAATTCCCATCATCCCTGACCACTGGTCTTGCTAGCTATGGATAATGGGAGTTGTAGTCCAAAACAGCTAGAGACCCAATATTGCTCAATATTGTCTATAGAGACTGGCGGTGTCTGTCCTGGGCTTCAGGCAGGGAATATCCAAAATGCTACATATAGAATTATAGAACTGTAGAGTTGGAAGGGACCCCAAGGGTCATCTAGTCCAACCCCCTGCAATGCAGGAATCTCATTTTTTAAAAAATAAATATTTTATTGGTTTTTACAAAAAAAAACCCACAAAATAATAAAGAGAAAAAACTTTTACCATATCCATATTTGAAACCCTCTGACTTGACTCTCACGACTTCCCCGTCCCCTGCATGGGTCCTTAAAATAATTTTTCTAAAACTACATATCATCATGTTCTCCACAGTTTTCATCTCTCTAAATTATCCATATTTATCGTTTCTTTACAAGTCCAGCTAATGTTTTTATTTCTTTACAATGGTCGCTGAAGTAAATTATAATTCCCTCCCCCCCATTCTTTCTTAAAGTCATTATCTTCTTGATTCCTGAGTCTCCTGGTCAGTTTTGCCATTTCCGCATAGTCCAGCAGTATAGCTTGCCATTCTTCCTTGGTCGGAACTGTTGGTTCTTTCCATCTTTGGGGTAGTAGCATCCTTGCAGCTGTTGTCTCATACATAAACAGTCTATTCTGGTCTTTTGGATGCAGGAATCTCAGTTAAAGCATCCATGCCAGGTGGCCACCTGCAGATGCCAAAGACTTAGCCTGAGGCCTTCTGCATGCAGAGCAGGTGTTTTTTCCAGGGAACTTGGGCTGGTGCTCCATGAATGGTGGCTGAGGTTTGGGGTAGCCCCAAGTCCCCTTGTGTGGGGTAGACCACCCCCATGACATACCCCTTCAGTCCCTGGTGGGGTTTCCTTCTTATCTCCCGTCATGATCCTCAACAGCCTTGTCTTTCTGTCCTTTGCAGGTAAGCTGGACATCACCCCCGATGACCCCAGGTGGATTGGCGCATGGTGGGCGGGCTTCTTGCTCTGCGGTGCCTTACTTTTCTTCTCGTCTCTCCCGATGTTTGGATTCCCACAGTCCCTGACCCGCCGGCCAGAGCTCTTGGCAGAGGTCGAGCAGGCCATGCTGCCAGACAGGGACTACGAGAGGCCAAAGCCCAGCAACGGGGTCCTCCCGCGAAACACCTTGGAAGCCCCAGATGACGTCTCCTGCTTCCAGCAACTGAGAGGTGACACTATCCCTTCGTAGCTCGCCTGGCGTCTGCGGGAGGCGACAGGTCAATGACTGGTTAGATCAGAAGTGGGGGATCCTGAGGGCCGTGTTCCTTCATGGGGAACCTTCCAGGGGCCGCATGGCCATGGTGCGTGGGGCCAGAGGCCAGTGGGTGGAGCCATTAATGCAGATTTTACATTTAAGCAGTAGGCTAGTTTCTGCAAGCCCTTCTCTGACCTCTCTCTCCAGGAAAGCAAGGGCAGGATCGAGAGGTCAGGAGGGCTGTGTTTGCCCCCCAGGCTGGTGGTTCCCCACTCCTGAATTTGAGCCACTGCCTCTTGTGGGAGTGAGTTCCATAGTTTAACAATGTGCTGCATGAAGTCCTTCGTTGCATCTGGGCAAACACTGAGCATTTTGGCCGCTGAATCTCCCTTCCACATCTTCCACTGCACTAGGGACGTGGGTGGTGCTGTGGACTAAACCACTAAGCCTCTTGGGCTTGCCGATCAGAAGGTCGGCGGTTCGAATCCCTGTGACGGAATGAGCTCCCATTGCTCTGTCCCAGCTCCTGCCAACCTAGCAGTTTGAAATCACACCAGTGCAAGTAGATAAATAGGTACCGCTGTGGTGGGAAGGTAAACGGCGTTTCTGTGCGCTCTGGTTTCCGTCATGGTGTCCCGTTGCTCCAGAAGCGGTTTAGTCATGCTGGCCACATGAGCCGGAAAGCTGTCTGTGGACAAATGCCTGAAAAGCGAGATGAGTGCTACACCCCATAGCTGCCTTTGACTGGACTTAAGCATCCAGGGGTCCTTTATCTTTCTCACCTTGCTGCACTAGAGGGCAGGAGACTAGCTCAAAAGGAAGAGACACAAAGCAGGCTGCCTGGCAGATGCACACGCAAGACAGACACGTAAAGAAGCACTTTTTTCACACCGCACGTAGTTAAAACTATGGAACTCCCACAGGAGGCAATGATGGACACCAACTAGGATGGCCTTCAAAGAGGGTTGGACTCTTTGAGCTCTTTAAGTGGACTATTGTGTGGCACAGCAGGGCTTTTTAAAAAAAATGGAGCTCCTCATGGAGGAGAAGGCTGTGTTCAACCTCCACTGTTGGAGACAGCAGTGCTTCTTAATACCAGTAGGGAGACTTGCTGATGCCCTCAGGTCCTACTTGGGGGCTTCCTAGAGGCATCCCTGAGAACAGGATGCTGGAATAGATGGACTCCTGATGTGATGCAGCAGCCAAGCTCTCAGCTCTGCCCAGTTACCACCCCTCAATATCTGCCACCTGAGCCACCTGTCTCACTCTGCTTCATGGTAGAGCCGGCCATGACTGCAAATTTAAGTGGACTATTGTGTGGCACAGCAGGGCTTTTTAAAAAAAATGGAGCTCAGCTAACCCCTTCTCAGATTGAAAACTGAGATTCCCTAGAGGAACCCAGACATCCTTTTGCCCTGCAATTTACAGGCACAAGTCCACACTTAAAAAGTCCATGCCCATCTGTTGTCATTGTTTTTGTCCTGGCACTTTCCGTGGGAAATTCACTGCCAAATTGGAGCAAATGGCAATCCACTGAAAATCCATTTGCTGCAATTCAGTGGTAGGACGTGGGTTTCCTTGGGGAAAGTGCTGTGACAAAAAAAAAAGGTCTGTGAGCTTGCACAGGAGGAGCTTTGCTGGAAGAGACAGTGAGCTGAAGAACCATAAAGAAATATCAGGAATGCATATCAAAGCAGTGTGAGGTTTGAGGCCAGCTCAAAGCATGAGGGGGTTCTAGGAGACTCCCGTCCTCTGCTGGTGGGCCCTGCTGGGGAACTAGAGATGAGCAGCCACTGTAACATCTGCACCCTGAGCAGCCCCAGGGGGCCAAGCCTGCCCTCCAGGATAATTCCCAGCAATGCCCTGATATAATGTTGCTTGGGATGCGGGTGGTGCTGTGGTCTGAACCACTGAGCCTCTTGGGCTTGCTGATCGGAAGGTTGGCGGTTCAAATCCCCGTGACGGGGTGAGCTCCCGTTGCTCTGTCCCAGCTCCTGCCAACCAACCTAGCAGTTCGAAAACACACCAGTGCAAGTAGATAAATAGGTACCACTGTGGTGGGAAGATAAACAGCATTTCTGTGCACTCTGGATTCCGTCACGGTGTCCTGTTGCGCCAGATGCGGTTTAGCCATGCTGGCCACATGACCCAGAAAGCTGTCTGTGGACAAACGCCGGCTTCCTCGGCCTGAAAGTGAGATGAGCGCCACAACCCCATAGTCGCCTTTGACTGGACTTAACCGCCCAGGGGTCCTTTACCTTAACCTTTAACTTTTTGCCATGTTAATTCACAGCACATACCTGATATAGTGTTGCTTGGAGTGTTGTGAGGGCCCTGAATGACAGAGCCAGGCCGGGGGGGGGAGACATTTTGGGGGAGGGGATGGCATTAATTTTGGACCCTATTGATGCCTGGGGGTCCCAGCACATGCCCACTGTTACTAGGTGCCAGCATTGGCCCTGCTGAGCCTAATGAGATGGGTGGAGGGGAACAGTCAGCTCTGAGCTTCCAAGCAGGGAGGTTAGTGTAAAATCTGTGATGGGGCAAAAAATGATTCCTTTGAAGCACAGATGCAGATGGAGAAATCAAAGGAAGCGGCTGCTCCTTGATGTTGGGCTTATCTTGACGACAGAACAGCCAGTGTCTTCCATCCCCCCCCAAAAAAAAATTGGTTTTGGCTAGAACTACACAACGCGGGTGGTGCTGTGGGTTAAAGTCTCAGCGCCTAGGGCTTGCCGATCGCAAGGTCGGCGGTTCGAATCCCCACGGCGGGGTGTGCTCCCGCTGCTCGGTCCCAGCGCCTGCCAACCTAGCAGTTCGAAAGCACCCCCCAGGTGCAAGTAGATAAATAGGGACCGCTTTCTAGCGGGAAGGTAAACGGCGTTTCCATGTGCGGCTCTGGCTCGCCAGAGCAGCAATGTCACGCTGGCCACGTGACCCGGATGTGTCTCCGGACAGCGCTGGCCCCCGGCCTCTTGAGTGAGATGGGCGCACAACCCTAGAGTCTGGCAAGACTGGCCCATAAGGGCAGGGGTACCTTTACCTTTACCTTTACACAAGCAAAAGCCCCCTGGTGATGTCTTGCTGGGCTGCACCATTTCTGACTACAGGGAGGGTCAAATATCTGAATGTTTCTCTGCATTAAAACCTAGTGTCTCTACATCCTAAGCCAGTGTGGTATGGGGCAGGTGAGTCTAAAAACCTTCCTTGCCAAGAGGCTGTTTTGCCCATAGTCACGTCTTGCCACCAGTTCTTGCTCCTGCATTATAAAACTTTGAGCATCTAAAGGAAGAGACGGCAGTCAACCCAGGAGGATATGACAATTGTTTTTCAGACACAAGAAACAGAAAGCAGAGTGAGAGAGGATGGGATTTGTATAACGCAGACAGGCCCCGCTGAGGCTTCAGCTGCACTTCAGAGAGATAATTTTTCAAACGTCCTGATTTTTCACATGTAGGACTCGCAGAGGAGTTAGTTGCCAGGTATCAAGGCGAGGCGAGGTTCTTCGCAGAACCTCGGCGCACTCCATCTTGCTCAAGCGGGGTTATCTCTGGAATAATTAAAATACTCACCCAAGCAGAACAGGCTCTGCCTGATTCATTAGCTTAAGAAACCCTTTGCAACCAAAGTCTTTCTCTCCTTCTTAGAAACAAAGGGAAACTCCTGCATGAGCTTTGCGGGGGGAGAGTTGGGGCTTAGAGAAGGTTAATTGAAAATGAAAATGGGGATTTCACATACTCACATAGGCAGAATGGAGTAATACTGGATGCAACTCTTGACATATTCAACAAAGGGATGACTGGATCTGTCAAATTCAGTTTCTCTTTTTTTCAGTCTTAGTTTCAGGTCTCCACATTTCCAGATCCAGCTATCGCCCAGCCCTACTGTTTGCCTCTACTTAGTTCCATCCTTATTTCATAATATAGCAGTACAGTATATCATGATGCTTAGCTGGTAATACCGTATTTTTCACTCCATAAGAAGCACTTTCCCCCCTTAAAAGCTAAGGGGAAATGTCTGTGCATCTTATGGAGCGAATGTGTGGTCCCTGGAACTAAATTGCCGGAGTGCGGCACGCTCCTGAGCCATTCTTTGGGGCTGGCGGGGGAAACTACGGGTGCCGGCAGAGCAGCCAGGGCTTCCCCCTCCAGCCCCGACAAGCTCTTGTTTAGCCGCACGCAGCCTCCCCGGTTGGGAGAGGCCAGGAGAGGCTGCGCGCGGCTATCCCATAAGCCAGGACAGCCAGTGGGATCGCAGTGATCCCGCTGGCTGTCCTGGCTTCTTGTTTAGCCTCGCGCAGCCTCCCCGGCCGGGAGAGGCTGTGCACCGCTATCCCATAAGCCAGGACAGCAAGCGGGATCGCTGTGCAGTGATCCCGCTTGCTGTCCTGGCTTCTGGGATTCAGAATATTTTTTTTCTTGTTTTCCTCTTCCAAAAACTAGGTGCGTCTTATGGTCTGGTGCATCTTATAGAGCGAAGAATACGGTATGTTGCGATGTTGAAAACCAGATATTGCCCAGCCCTAATGCCAGCCAGTATTAACTGTAGATTCACCCTTTCTGGGGGAAATCCAGGAAGTCTTAGCCTGCCAGTTTGCCCTGACATAGCTCAGTTGGTAGAGCATGGTACTCTTAATCTCAGGTTCATAGGTTTGAGCCCCATGTTGGGCAAAAGATTTCTGCAGGGGATGGGACCAGATGATCTTTGTGGTCCCTTCCAACTCTATAATTCTTTGATTTTGCAAAAAGCCGTAGAATGAGGTAAGGAATAAAGATCAGACCCACTGGGCCAGACCTCTGCAACACACACAAAAAAAACCTGTTACCAGCAACCCATTGGGGTACCTCAGTTAACTTCTTAGAAATAAGCCTTAGTTTGGAAGCATCAAGAGATAACCCTGTTTGCCTCCATTGGATAGATGACCTGTCATTGATTTTTAGAGCAATGTTTCCCAGGCTTGGGTCTCCAGCTGTTTTTGGACTACAACTCCCATCATCCCTAGCTAGCAGGACCAAGGGTCAGGGATGGTGGGAGTTGTTGTCCAAAAACAGCTGGAGACCCAAGTTTGGGAAAGATTGCTTTAGAGAAAGGCAAGTACCCCTTATCCAGAAACACAGTAGTTAGTGCAACATTTGGGGCAGAAGCAAAGCCTCAAATCTAAACACCCAGAAGTTTAGTGCTACTCATACAGCAATTGATTTCCTGTGTAATATGCTCTGTAGCCCCTAGATGGCCCCATGAGCCTCAAAGCAGTCCAGGTATGGTTGGATGGCAATGGTATTCTTAGGGAACTCATGTCTGCTTGTGTCGATTTTTCTGCTGAACATCCCCAAAGGGGCTAGCCAGGCCAAAGCTGCATAAAGCCATTAGGCTAAATCAATACAAAGTCGTAAGAATCTTACAAAGAATCTGGTTCAAAGTCGGAATAAAGAATGCACAGAATGGGAAATGCCTCGACTTTAGAAAAGGCGCCCTGTGGCAAGTCAAGCCATTGCCTGATTGTGGAGGGAGAAAGCAGATATCATGGGCGCCTGCTTTGTGGAAGGCTGAGCTACTGGTTCTTGGAGTCATAGTTTAAAAACAAAGGAAACATAGTACAGTCATACCTCGGGTTGAAGTAGCTTCAGGATAAGTATTTTCGGGTTGCGTGCTGCTGCGACCCAGAAGTAACAGAGAACGTTACTTGCGGGTTTTGCTGCTCACACATGCGCAGTCAAAATGGTGTCATGCGCATGCGCAGAAGTGGCAAATCGCGTTCGCTTCTGGATGCGAATGGGGCTCTGGAACGGATCCTGTTCACATCCAGAGGTACCACTGTACTTCCCACAAGCCTGAAGTCTGTCCAACCCTGGCCTTGAGTGCATAGGCACACCAGAAGACCTCCTTGTCATCTAGTCCACCATCCTGTTCTCAAACTGGCCACCCAAATGCTAACGGGAAACCTGCAAGGAGGACCCAAGCACAAGAGCATGCTCCCTGCCTGCAGTTTCCGGCCACGTGTATTCAGAAGCATGACTGCCTCTGACCATGGACATGGATGTGAACTATAGACCTGCGGCTTGGGAAAGCCAACCACATGTGCCGAGGCTCAGTCACATGGATCTAGCACCATAAGACCCATGTGACTGAGCCCTGCCAATGTGGTTGGGTCATGTGGCGTGTCCTCCCAGCCACATGGGAGCTGCTTACAGACAACCAGCTGCCCCACAGCTGGGAAAATGTCTTTAGGCAGCCTTCCGTAACCTGGCATCCTCTAAATGTTTTGGACCACAACTCCAATTATCTCCGTTCAGCAAGGTCATTGTGAGCCAAGATGCCTAGAAGCTAGGGAAGACCTTCTTGAGCGCATCTGGGGAAGCTCAGAAAGCAGCCCCCTTTCTAAAGACCCTTTTCCTCTCTTTTCTCTTCTTCAGTGATCCCTAAAGTAACCAAGCACTTGCTCTCCAATCCGGTCTTCACCTGCATTGTCCTTGCAGCGTGCATGGAGATCGCCGTGGTTGCTGGCTTTGCGGCTTTCCTGGGGAAATACCTGGAGCAGCAATTCAATCTCACAACGTCGTCCGCCAACCAGTTATTGGGTGAGTAGCCAGAGCAGGCCATTGGTTGGGCCATAGTTCTTTTCAGGGTATATTATGGGGTGTCAGATGCTGTGCTGCTTACACCCATGCCCACATGCACCCCTTGCCTTTGCTATTCCAGGCTTGTAGCAAAAGCTTGGCAGCTCACAAGTCATGCAGGACCAGTCTCATGGCCTTCATAGATGGTTGATACTCGCATAACCCTTTTCACTCTGGTATGAATACAGTGGTACCTTGGTCCTCAAACTTAATCCGTTCCGGAGTCTGTTCCAAAACCAAAGCATTCCAAAACCAAGGTGCGTGTTCCCATAGAAAGTAATGCAAAATGGATTAATCTATTCCAGACTTTTAAAAACAACCCCTAAAACAGCAATTTAACATGGATTTTACTATCTGACGAGACCATGGATCCATAAATTGAAAGCAATAATCAATGTACTGTACTATAAAATAAATAAGACAGCATTGTATATGATAAAAATTAAAAAAAAAAATTTCTTACCTGCACTGATGACAGTCATTGTTTCCATTTCCATTGTTTCCATTCCAGGCCTTTATCCATTTCCTCAGTCACACAATCAATCCATCAGTAGCTGAACTGGGTTCCACACAGTCACAAAAACAAATTAACAGAAAAAGCCTCAAAAACAAAAACGCAAAATAAAGAGCAAAAACAAAAGCACCAGACTTAATCCGTTCTGGAAGTCTGTTTGACTTCCAAAATGTTCAAAAACCAAGGTGCAGCTTCTGATTGGTGGAGGCACCCCGGAAACAATAGCCGACAGCTGCATCGGACGTTCTGTCATTTGGTGGCTGGAAAACACTTCCTGGCAACTTCTCACTGTTTGAGAAGATGTTTTTAACTGTTTTGGACTATTTTAAACAACTTTTTAAAATGCTCTTAAAAAGAAGTAGTTTTATTATTGATGTGTTTGGCACCCTGGGCTCCTTCAGGAGAAAGAGTAGAGTATAAACTGAATGAATAGGTAAATAAATAAAACAGCTGCCCCTTCAAATATACTCCAAACAACCCTGTGGGGAAGGCTCTGCTTAGGGGCTGCCCCCATTTCATCCCACCAGCTCTTTGGCTGAGCAGGGATTTGAAGCAGTCCCACCCCATCCTTTCCAAAACATTCTTCCACACCAACTCTCATAGTAAGCTATGCTTCTTGTGTTCCTTTTTATTCATATGCAAATACATATGCAGATTAAATTAATTGACCCAAACTCATGCCATTTATCAACTCTGGTTTCTTTAATCGGGTGCTAGCCTTTCAATTTTGTGCCAAAGGAACCCAATCTTTGAAACAAGAAATTGTCAAAGCTTGAGACCTGCATAAATTAAGCACATGAGACCAAACGGTGAGGTTGCTCTCACTTTGCTTAATGTACCCTGCAATTTTTAATATTTTTTTCTCCACAATTCATCCACACTCTTAGCCCTGGAAATGCTGTTCAGCAACCCGTCTGACTACAGAGGTTGCAGCAAGTCTTGCTGCCAGTTTTTCAAGCATATCTCTGAAAAGTGTAAGGTCTGGGATCTTGCTGTTTTTTAAAAAAGACAACCAAGTTTCTCACAAAACTGACCTCTGAGTTCTGCATTTTGCAACTTTTCGGCACTTTCATGGAATTGTGCCATTCCCCACAACGTGAAAACCTATTCCCTGCAACCTGCAATAGTTATGAACACATTCACTTTGCAGAGAGCCAGTGTGTTGTAGTGGTTAGAGTGTCAGACCAAAACCTGGGAGAACAGGGTTCAAATCCCTATTCAGGCTGATCTACCTCACAGGGTTGTTGTGCGCATAAAATTGAGGGAGGGGGAGAACCATGTATGTCACCTTGAGCAACTTGGAGGAGGGCCAGAATAGAAATGTCATAATAATAATAATAATAATAATAATAATAATAATAATAATATGGGCGGGGGGTTCTCAAGGTTTTGAAAGCTGTGGAGGCGCCCACACGAAAGCCATTCCACCCTCTCAGTTGCTGCAATGTCACTCAGCATTGAACTTCCTGCAGCCAATCCGAAGCCGCACCAGCGTCACCGCCTGCCCAGAGCCATCCGCAGCTTTGGATTGGCTGCAGGAGTTTCCTACAGGCAATCTGAAGCCACGCCAGCATTGCCACCTGCCCTGAGGCATCTGCAGCTTTGGATTGGTTGCAGGAATTTCCACCCACGTCACTGCCCACCCAGAAGCCATGCCAGCACCGAGGAAGTCAGTTCCCGCACGGCGAGGCGTCCGCAGCACGTGGGGACTGACCAAGCAGGTGGCAGAGTCCATGGGCCGGATTTACAAGCCTGGGGGGCCACATGTCACTCAGCATTGCTCACATAATCTCAGTCCTATCATCCAATCCTTAAGGCAGGGGTCAGCAAACATTTTCATCAGGGGGCCGGTCCACTGCTCCTCAGACCTTGTGGGGGGCCAGACTATACAGTACTGTAGATTCCGGCGTATTAGGCAACTGGGCGTATAAGACGCCCCCCAACTTTTGCTGTTCAATTTTAGAGTATTAGAGTTATAGAGTTTGAGTGCCGCCAGGGGCGGAGCACGCCCCCCTCCGCTGCTTCTGCCATCGCAGCAGCAGCAGCCGGAGGCGAGGGGTTTGGCAGGCGGGCAAGCACCGCGCTCGGAAGGACTTTCTGCGTCCCCTTCTGTGGGGAGGGAGGAGGAGCGATGGCAGAAGGGGCGCCTCTGCTCACCGGCTGCCTCTCCTCCTTCCCAACGCGTATACCCGGCGTATAAGACAACCCCCAACTTTTGGGGTGATTTTCCTGGGATAAAAAGTAGTCTTGTATGCCAGAACATACGGTATTTTGAAAAATATAAATACCCTGCAAGCCGGTCCCACAGCTGCCTCTGGACCCGGAAGAGGAACGCACTCTGTTGATGAGCAACAGCCGCTCCATTGGCCTGTCCTTGCGGAGCTGCCAGACGGGGTGCACCACACGGGCCTGTCCTTGCGGAGCTGCCAGACGGGGTGCAAGCTCTGGGTGAAGCCCCGCGATGCACCCCTCACACTGCCCATGGCACGGCCCAGACCCACCGCCCGACTGCCAGCCTCTCCGTCCATGGCTGAGTTTACCTCAGCCGGGTTTACCTCACCGCACCGGGTTTACCTCAGCCGCGGGCAGCAAGGCTTTCGATTGGCTGCAGGAACTTCAGCCGCGCCAGCGTCACCGCCTGCCCAGAGCCATCTGCAGCTTTGGATTGGCTGCAGGAGTTTCCTACAGGCAATCTGAAGCCGCGCCAGCATTGCCACCTGCCCTGAGGCATCCGCAGCTTTGGATTGGTTGCAGGAACTTCCACCCACGTCACTGCCCACCCAGAAGCCATGCCAGCACCGCGGAAGTCAGTTCCCGCACGGCGAGGCGTCCGCAGCACGTGGGGACTGACCAAGCGTGTGGCAGAGTCCATGGGCCGGATTTACGAGCCTGGGGGGCCACATCTGGCCCCTGGGCTTTAGTTTGCTGACCCCTGCCTTAAGGTCTATAAACTTGGTTTTTTATTTTCAAAAGAACTTAAAATTATATTTATTTCCCTACGTTTCTGACCCACCTTCTTCTCCAAGGAGCTCATAGTTCCCACCCTCCCCATTTAACCCCCACACGTCTGACACTCTAACCACTACACCACAATGTCTCTCTAATAATATAAAGTGTATATATATATATATATACAGTGGTGCCTCGCAAGACGAAATTAATTCGTTCCTCAAGTTTATTCTTCTTGCGAGTTTTTCGTCTTGCGAAGCACGGTTTCCCATAGGAATGCATTGAAAATCAATTAATGCGTTCCTAGGGAAACCGCTTGCCAGGCTGGCGGTGCGGAGAAGGGCTTTTCTCCCCACCGCAAGCCTTCAGGACAGGTACGGGAACAGAGGGGAAGGCGCGCAGCGCTTTCCCTCTGTTCCCGGGGCTTGCGTGGGAGGAGGGTTTTTCCTCCCCACCGCCAACATTCAGAACAGCATTCTGAATGTTGGCGGTGGGAAGGAAAACCCTCCTCCCACCCCAAGTCTTCAGGAAAGCCATCCGAAGCCGGGCGGCGGGAGAAGGTGTCCCCGCCCCCCCCCCCCGCCCGGCATCGGAGCTTCATTCCGATGGCGGGCGGCGGGAGGAGGTGTCCCCGCCCCCCCGCCCGGCATCGGAGCTTCGTTCCGATGGCGGGCGGCGGGAGAACGCGTTCCCGCCCCCCCCGCCCGGCATCGGAGCTTCGTTCCGATGGCGGGCGGCGGGAGAACGCGTTCCCGCCCCCCGCCCGGCATCGGAGCTTCGTTCCGATGGCGGGCGGCGGGAGAACGCGTTCCCGCCCGGCATCGGAGCTTCGTTCCGATGGCGGGCGGCGGGAGAACGCGTTCCCGCCCCCCCCGCCCGGCATCAGAGCTTCGTTCCGATGGCGGGCGGCGGGAGAACGCGTTCCCGCCCCCCCGCCCGGCATCGGAGCTTGGTTCTGATGGTGGGCGGCGGGAGAACGCGTTCCCGCCCCCCTGCCCGGCATCGGAGCTTCGTTCCGATGGCGGGCGGCGGGAGGAGGTCCGAGAACAGTGGGGAAGACACGCTGCGCTTCCCTGCTGTCCCGGAGATTTCCCTATGGGCTTTCGTCTTGCGAAGCAAGCCCATAGGGAAAATCGTCTTGCGAAGCAACTCGCAAACGGAAAACCCTTTCGTCTAGCGGGTTTTCCGTCTTGCGAGGCGTTCGTCTTGCGGGGTACCACTGTATATATATATATATATATATATAAATACAGTGGTACCTTGGTTGTTGAATTTAATCCATTCCGGGAGTCTGTTCGATTCCCAGAATGGTTCGAAAACCAAGGCGCAGCTTCTGATAGGCTGCAGGAGCTTCCTGAAGCCAATCAGAAGCCACGTAAACTGCGTTGGACATTTGGCTTCCAAAAAATGTTTGCAGACCAGAACAATCACTTCCAGGTTTGCGGCATTCGGGAGCCAGTTTATTCGACAACTAAGCCGTTCGACAACCAAGGTACCACTGTAAGTGCTTTGTTTTTGTTTTTTTAAGGGTTCCTAATGTTTCAGGAAGTAGGTTTTCCACACCTGCATGCGCAGGGACTGAGGCAAATTGAAATGGAAGCTATGAACCCCTTTTTCTCTTTGTGCAGGTATGACAGCTATTCCCTGTGCATGTCTGGGCATCTTCCTGGGCGGCCTCCTGGTCAAGAAGCTGAGCCTGTCTGCTCTCGGAGCCATCCGTATGGCTATGCTGGTCAACCTGGTGTCCACGGGCTGCTACGTCTCATTCCTGTTCCTGGGTTGTGACACAGGACCGGTGGCCGGGGTCACTGTTCCCTATGGAAACAAGTGAGTATGACCTGTGAAGCAGAATTTGAGCCAGAAACGCTCCTAGGATTTATTCCTCCATGGCCAACTCGCTGCCCATCAGAAGTTTCGGGTTACCTGATGGATACACCCCTGTGATTGGTCCAGATGTTAAAAAGTCCCACCGACCTGGAAGTAAGGGCTGCATCCAATAGGTCGGGTTGTGACTGAGCTGCTCCTTGAGGATGAGAGGAAGGGTCCCAGCCTTGGTGGCCTCTCACCTTTAAGAGCAGAATCTCTGCTGGAATTCTTTCATGTGGCCATCCTAACTAGAGAGGTCTAATCTAGTGGGGTGCGGTTTCCTTCAGCAATCCTGAAGGTATGGTGTTATGTACTGAGCTGAATTCTAGAACAATAGGATCCAGAATGCAGCAGTCTGATTGGTCCGCAGGAGCCACCCAATCCAGCTCCAGGTGGAAGTGAATCAGCGACCTGATTGGCCTGAAGGAGCAGCCAATTAGCTAATCACGCAGGGGAAAGTTTCATTCATTGCTACTATAAGCTGAATAAAAAGCATGAAATTCACACTCAACTCCGGGTATATTTCATATTATTAAGAAGCCTAGATACAGGTAGGGTTGGCTTTGGGCTGGCTTCTAACAGAGCCTTTATCTGCTCCTGGATTTCCCAGCATGCACCTGTCCCAATTAAGAGACAAGATGGCTGCTGGTGTAAACCTTGGTAATATGGTGCCCTGTGCGAGTCCAAAATTTGACACACACACACAGCCAGCCCTTGTGCCCCAAAGCCAGGCTTTGGAAAGGAGGCATGAGGAATCTAGAGCCTTCCCTACTCCTTCCCAAAGTTGGGTTTTGGACCCTGTTAGAGCCCTCACACCAGCTGGAAGGCACTCACTTGGCCCCTGCATTCTGTGAGGGGGAACTAGTCAACCTGCCCTAAATCTGCCTCTGACTGATCAGTATGGCTATCCCTAACCTTTGGGACCTTAAGCTCCTTCTGTTCTCTTTGTTGTCTTCCATGCAGTCAGTAGCCAAGGAAGAGTCTGAGACCATAATACCATGGTGTCATACCATGCACAATGATGCTTCCCCCAAAGCGTCCTGGGAAGTGTAGTTTGTGAAGCGGGCTGAGTGTTGTGAAGAGACCCTTATTTCACACACACACACACACACACACACACACACACACCGAGCTACAGTTTCCAAAGTGGTTTAACAATCAGTCCCTCTTCATGGGGAATTCTGCTAATTGCAGCTCTGGGAGGGGAATAGGGGTCTTGGCACCCTTAACAAACTACACCTCACAGGATACTTTTCAGGGAGGGGCCTTAAAAGTGAGGCCTTTTTCCAGCTGAAACTCAGTTCTGCCACCTCTCAGGTGGGCACCATGGTGGGTTTCAACATGTCTTTCTCTAGAAAAATAGCACTGCTTAAAATTATTATGTGAATATGGCCTGGTGTAACTTTTGGGGAGGAAAGGTTCACTAGGAAAGAAATGCTTCGGAGTCACGCTTCCTTCTGACCAACTGCTGCCCTCCCCTTAACCCCCCACCCACTTTCTTCCAGATCAGGACCATCGTCCATCCTGGCACCATATTCCGCCTGCAATAACAACTGTAAATGCCAAACTGATTCCTTCACTCCGGTCTGTGGGGCAGACGGGATCACGTACTTATCTGCCTGTTTTGCTGGATGCAGTACCATGGTAATCCATATTTCCTTCATTGATTGATTGGATTTCTTACCTGCCTTTCACCGTAAGGTCCCCGTGCAGATTGCAGCATTTGGTTACAAAAAAATAAAACAAAATGCATTTGGGGCACTGTGCAAGATCACCCCCCCCAAAAAAAGTGCTTTTTTTCAGGGTGTAATTGTGGCGCCCAAAATGGCCGCCGTGCTCTCAGACAAAAAAAGTGGGATGTCCCGGTTTTATCAGGACACTTGAGGGGTATGTATGTCTTTGTGCTCTGGTGATGCTGGTTACATATGCTTCAGGTTACAGACCCAGAAATATTGCTTCAGGTTAAGAACTTTGCTTCAGGATGAGAACAGAAATCGTGCTCCGGCGGCGCGGCGGCAGCAGGAGGCCCCATTAGCTAAAGTGGTGCTTCAGGTTAAGAACAGTTTCAGGTTAAGTATGGACCTCCGGAATGAATTAAGTACTTAACCCGCGGTACCACTGTATACAAATGTAAAATTGACATTCATAGCTCCACCTGTTTATACTCTTGCCCCGCCTATCGCTTGCACAAAGCCCTGCCCAGAAAGGAATGTGGCCCTCACTCCCCGCTCTTGCCTTAAACAAAAGGGACAGAGCCTCATCTATAATAATAATAATAGTAATAATAATAATAGTAGTAATAGTAATAATAATAATAATAATAATTTATTTGTACCCCGCCCATCTGCTGGGTTTCCCCAGCCACTCTGGGCGGCTTCCATAGAAACCAAAAATACACTAAAATATCACAGATTAAAAACTTCCCTGAACAGGGCTGCCTTAAGATGTCTTCTGAATGTCAGGTAGTTGTTTATCTCTTTGACATCTGATGGGAGGGCGTTCCACAGGGCGGGTGCCACTACCGAGAAGGCCCTCTGCCTGGTTCCCTGTAGCTTTGCTTCTCGCAATGAGGGAACCGCCAGAAGGCCCTCGGCGCTGGACCTCAGCGTCCGGGCAGAACAATGGGGGTGGAGACGCTCATCTAGTGGCCCAACCCTGCAAACAAAGAGAGGGAGAATGGAGCCAACAGAGAGGTGCTGGTGAACATCAGTGGCCTGAGCAGGTGGGAAATTCTCCTTTGCCAAAAGCGCCAGGCAAGGCCCTCAGGATGGAGGGGAGCAGGTGGCCGTGGAAGAGCTTGCTAGCCATTGCTGGCAAAGGGAGCCTGTTCTTCTTCCGGAGGCTCATTGTGCCCAGATATAATTGCTTCCTCAGCTGCATCTCCTTCATCCTCCTTCCCACCCCAAACCCCTTTCATATCCTCTCTCAACGTTTCTCTGGAGAGAGGGAGAGAGACAATGACAGGTTGTGAATTCAGCAAATCTCTAAAAGCTTGACAAAGAGAATAATTTCTCTTTGTTCTCCAAAGCCTGATATTTTGATAGAAAGAAGATGACTGATGTGTGTGGACAAGGCAGAGTTGATATCTAAGGACTAAGAAGTGTGTGTGTGTGTGTGTGTGTGTATCTAGACCTAGATATTTCAATAACTTAACAGTTCAAGGCGAGTCAGTTAGAATAAATCCTCCTAGCAGGAAATAAAGCGATTCTGTATCTCCCAGCATCCTCAGGGAGCAACAGCCATGATTGCGACACATTCAGAAAATGTTGTTCAGTTCTTCTGGGGATCTTACTAAATGCACGCACAAAAAGCGGAAGAAAAGCACAGCAGATTTTCTGTGCCGCTGAAAGCTCACAGATCCAATTATCCCCATTCTCCTCTGCTCCTCCTTTATCACACCACGCCATTGTGTGGCATTTTCCTGGGCCACTGATATCATCAAAAGCCTTCCTCACTCTTTCCTTCAGCAAGCACGCCTCAGAGAGCCAGAGTCCCTCTTCAGACACACCAGTGGGGAACCACAGCATTGTCACTTTTGGGCACTGTTTGGACAGACACCTCTTTTGTTGTTGTTGTTGTTGCATGAATAATAGCCGCGGGGAGCTTGCCTCTAGCCACTACACTGCTCTTGGGGCCAGAAAAGCGAAAGCATGGTGGAGGGGGGCCACATGCAAACTTTCTGGAAAAGCAGAAGATTGTAAGCTTCAAGGCACAGCGGAGAAAGGCATATCCCAGAATAACTAGAAAGACTTTTAAAAACTAGGAAGCAAAGACTTTGTGTTGTCTTTTATGCCTTCCTACATAATAGGGGCTTATTAGTTCGCTCTGAGGGCAGATGGGAACCTTTCCACTTGGACAGAGGGATAGCTGGAGGGGCACACTGGGTGCTACACCGCAGGGGCCACCCCCATGGGTGGCTCGCCCTGCCTCCAGGTGCCCAAGCTGCTAGCTATGTCCCTGTACTTGGGACCCCCAAAGCTCTGCTGTGTGTACTGCTACAACCTGTCGGACAAGGGTTTTGAATAGCAAAAGATGCACCAGTTCTCTTAAGGCAGCCTTCCCTAACCTGGTGCCCTCAATTATTATTTTTATTAGCAGTAGTGGTAGTATTTATATGCCGACCCTCCAGCAAATTAAAACATCGAGCACAGTAAAACACCCAACATTTAAAACTTCCCTATACAGGGCTCCCTTCGGGTATCTTCTAAAGGTTATATGGTTACTCATCTCCTTGACCTTTGATGGGAGGGCGTTCCACAGGGCGGGTGCCACTACCGAGAAGGCCCTCTGCCTGGTTCCCTGTAAACTCACTTCTCACAGTGAGGGAACCACCAGAGGGTAGCAACACGAGAACAGGCCTTTTTTGTGGTGGCTCCTCATGTGTAGAATGCTCTCCCTAGGGAGGCTGGCTTGGTGCCTTCATTACACGTCTTTAGGCACCAGGCAAAAACATTTCTCTTCTCCCAGGCCTTTGGCTAATTATGCCCTCTATGGCCTTTTAAACTGTGGGGGGAGGTTATTTATTTTATTTTTGTTGCTAGAATATGAATTTTTTCTGTTTTAATACTGCACACTTCCCTGTGATCCTCGGAAATTTAATAAATAATAAGAATGGGGGCGGGGGCTGAAGAACATGAGCAGGGGACCAGGAGTGAGATCCGTGTGCAACATAAGCCCTTCGTGATATTTGCAACTGGCTGGGAGATCAAAGGGAATACAGCCACTTTCTTCCCTTTCTGATTGCGCGTTGATAAAGCTTATCTCGCCTGTCTCTGGCTTTCAGCCCCTGAACAAATCCCCTGTAAACCTGAAGCTGTCTGTTCCCCTTCTAAGGGGTGTGTGTGTGTGTGAGAGAGAGAGGGGGGGAAGCACCTCTGTTATTATCCCTACTGCTGCTGATTCCTGACTTTCTGCAAGAGACAGAGTTAACATCACAAACCAGTATCTTTTGCCTCTTCATTGTTCTGAGGTTCTGAAATGAGGCTGCAAAGGGCTGGGCAAATTTACTCTTTTTAATGCACTCTGGCATAATTAGAAGCAGTGGGTGAAAAGTGGGGGGGGGGGTAAATCAGAAAGTAATTAGAAGCTTTAATTTGAAAATGGTTTAGCCTAATGCAGGGACACAGCGTCTTCCTTTTATCCCTGTATTCACGAGGGGTCTCAACCCATAGTAATTTTCTTTTCTTTTTTTAATGGTAATTTTCTCACAGTTGTGCTTATTTGAAAGACTTGAAAGAGCCAAAGGGAGAACCACAAAGGGGAAAGGAATAGCACACCACTAGAGCAAAGATGGCCGTATTCTGTCCCCTGGCTCTCTTCAGACTGGCAGATGCAGGAGGGGTGTGTGTGTGTGTGTGTGTGTGTGTGTACCTCCCATTTTCCTGCCTCTTGTCTGACTTTCATGGACAATATTACAGTGGCAGAGTTGACACTCAGGCCCACTGTGATCCTCGCAGGAGTGCAGAGCACAATCCTGAGTGCAGAATCTCTTTATGGACACAGTCACAGAATTTTGCTTTTTAATAATGATATCGAAACCCAAGACCATAGTGCAAAAGGTTGAAAAAGGAATAATTCAGTTATCCAACCCCAAGCCATCTGAAGGAAGCTCTGTACAGAGTTTTTTTTTTAAATGTTTAATATAGGGCTGCCATACATCTGAGTTTTCCTAGACATATCAGGGATTTGTGAAATTGAGTCTGGGTGGAATTTCCAAAAATTGTGATGTATGGCAATGATCTTTTCGGGGAGATTTTTCAAAAAAAAGCTCAACAACCAAAAAGACCTCATTGTATGGCAATCCTAGTTGTTGTTTTTTTCCAAAAAAAAATAATGATTTTCCAAAAATTTTAAAACAAACAAACAAACAAACATAAATCTTAACTGTAGTTAATCCAATCTTCATAACATTGTTAGGTGACTTCCTCTAATCCCCCGGCTGAATTTCAATGTATATCATTGTAACAGTTTTCCAAAACCAAATTTCTCATAAAATTAACTTAATCACTTAACATCATTCTTTCTTTTCATTTTAACTTTTTATTCTCTAACATCACCTATTTAAATCCTAAGCCTATCTGATATTTGCAAGTTATTATGTTACCTTAGCATATTTAACTAAATAGTCTTTAAATTTCATCCATTCCTTCTGGTACTCCTCCTCCTTCTGATCGCGGACTCTTCCAGTCAGGTCGGCTAGCTCCAAAAAGTCCATCGTTTTCATCTGCCATTCCTCCACTGTTGGGATTTCTTGTGTTTTCCATGGCAATCCTAGTTTAATGTTCTATTGTGTTTTTATATATGTTGGAGCTGGGTTGTAGCTGGAGCAACCCAGTCAAACGGATGGGATACAAATAGTAAATTTGTTGTTGTTGTTGTTAAATATGACATCCCTATTTTCATTGAAGAAATGATGAAGGGTATGCGATGGTGTGTTGACAGTGCCTCTCAGAAGCCAGAGCATAGTTAAATACAGTTTGCAAGCAGGCTACAGGTTGCCTCTTGCCTTTCCATGGCTCCCAAACTAGAATGAGTGGCATGTCCACACCCTGTAGCAGAAATGACCGCTCCCCGCATAAAACGGAGGGGGCGCCCTTTGCGTGGACGCGCGCAGCCCCTGGATCTGGAGGGGCTCCATCAACACAGGCTTGGCTTCGCCTTCCCCCAGGTGGGATACCTGGAGGTCTCCACCTACCTCAGTCAGTTGTCCAATCCCGCCTGGGGGAAGCATTGCCAAGGAGACCAGGCCAGGTAGGGGAGGGACTACCTGCCCACACAATAGAGGGAATCCTCACTTGGCGCCAGGGCGGAATCCTTTAGTCTATCTTCCTCTTTGCAGCAGCGATACAAAGGGGTTTCTAAGGGGAGGCTTTGACCGTACGCCGAGAGGTTGTCATTGCTCTCCCCTGTGGCGGCGGCATAACGGGGGCAGCTATCTCTGCTTGAACATATGTTCTCCAGAGCCGGCCCATCCCCCCCCCACACACACTGGATAACCCTGATGTTCCCTAGGTCCCCAGCTGGGGACTGGGGAGGGAGAACACCCAATGCCTGAGCCAAGGTCTACCCATATCTGAAATATAATAAAGTTGTGGCCATTTTAATCCCATAGCACATTGTCTTGAGTCATTATTCCACATGACGGGGGGGAGGGCGGCGCCCGGGATCTGGGGGACTCCGCCTGTCCGCACAAACCCACTGCTCTGTGTTTTGTCAACTGAGCCTCCTTAGCTGGGCTTTCTCTTCCAGAACCTCACGGGTTGCACGTGCCTCGGTCTGGTCCCTGCGGAGAATGCCACGGTCGTTCCTGGGAAGTGCCCAACCCCAGGATGCCAAGAAGCCTTTCTGACATTCCTCTGTGTGATATGTGTCTGCAGCATGATCGGAGCCATGGCTCAGACGCCCTCCGTCATCATCCTCATCAGGTGAGAGCCTTCGAGCGTTTGGGGACTGTGGTGACAGAAAAGGGGGCCGCTGGAGCTGAAGCAGAGCTGGATCTGAAAGTGTGGCCAGCTGAAGGCCGCATCCGTACCATACATTTAAAGAGCTGTGGTGCTTTAAACAGCCATGGATTCCCCTTAAGAATCATGGGAACTATAGTTTGCTAGACGTGCTGAGGGTTATTAGGAGACCCTTATTCCCCTCAGAGAGCTACAATTCCCAGAGTTCACTGTGAAGAGGGATTGATAATTAAACCATTCAGGGAATTGTACCTCTGTGAGGGGAATAATGGTAGAGGGATCCCTGACCATTAGGTCCAGTCGCAGACTACTCTGGGGTTGCGGCGCTCATCTCGCTTTATTGGCCGAGGGAGCCGGCGTACAGCTTCCGGGTCATGTGGCCAGCATGACAAAGCAACTTCTGGCGAACCAGAGCAGCGCATGGAAACGTCATTTACCTTTCCGCCAGAGCGGTACCTATTTATCTACTTGCACTTTGACATGCTTTTGAACTGCTAGGTTGGCAGGAGCAGGGACCGAGCAACCGGAGCTCACTCTGTCATGGGGATTCGAACCGCCGACCTTCTGATCGGCAAGCCCTAGGCTCTGTGGTTTAACCCACAGCGCCACCTGTGTCCCTGTGAAGGGAATAGGGGTGTCCTAAAAACTCTCAGCAGCCTTAACAGAACCCAGCATCCATAATTCTTAAGAATTAAGCCATGACTGACTGAGGTGTTATGATAGCACTTCAAATGCGGGGGGCTCTGGTTATATCTGGATATCCTACTCCCCAGTTTGAAGCTGCGTCAAAACTTAGCATCCCTTTCATGGCTCACAGCGGAGACTATTCCGCTGGGGAAACTGGTGCACAGCCCTCCCAAGGAGAATGTCAATAAATTTTTTTTAAGCCCTCAAATCTCAAAGCCACACACTCTTTCCTGTGTCTGTTCTCAGCCTATTTTATACTTCTGTTTGATGTTAGAGAAAGCTCTGCAAACATCTCTGTCAATCTACCATTCTCTGGCCAATCAGCTGTCTGCACCACTCAGCCAATCCCAATCTAAACATGTAACTATGGGAAAGAGGTTCCTCATCAAAGCGGAAAGCTAGGTGACTGATGAGGCCGCCAGAAACTCAGCTCCTGTAGGAAGGCAATTATTCTTACTCTCGTCATGAGACCTGTCCAGCACAGCTGCTATAGCAGATACGAGAAGAGCCAGGACTGCTTCATAAACAGCCCAGGATGCTGGAAGAGGTGGACTTCTGACTTGATCCATCAAACTCGTCTTAAGTTTTTACGTTCACACTTTTGACCCAAGGCCAACAGATTATTATTTTTTATCGCCTCTCCCTGCACATTCACGCTGCCTGTCCTCCTTGCGAAGTTCTAACTTTTTTAAAAAAAGATTCTCCTTCTTCCTTCAAAAATTCAGTACCTACAGGTGCTGGGAGCAGGTTGGGGGGGGGGCTACAGAAAACAGGATGGTCCTTTTTGCGGCCTTTCTGGAAGCTTCCGACTCTGACCACTGTTGGAAGCAAGTCACTGGACTAGAGGGTCCAATCTAAAGGTTTCCTGTCATATCCAGCATATAAAAAATGTGAATTCCTTACGTGATGGTTCACAAGGGGTTGTGATTTGCAGGCGGTGGATGGGAAAGCCCACAATGCTGCTAGATTTCTTAACTTACCAGTTAGCTGCAACTTTTTTCTAATCTGAAGGCACCTAGAAGTGGAGTGGTAGGGAAGGGAGCACATTAATGATTTAATTTCTGAAGATGGGACCATCTTGGTTGACGGAAAAACATAACTGAGGTAGTGGTGTGCATGCACATTAATTAAAGCCTGGAGCAAGGAACCATTTTTATACACGAAAACGTATTGTATATACCTATATCTTGTTTGCTTGAATTTCTCCTGTATAGAACAGTGAGCCCAGAGCTGAAGTCTTACGCTTTGGGAGTTCTCTTCCTTCTCCTCCGATTGTTGGGTAAGTAAAACTTAAGTTTTCTTTTCGTCTTTTCTCTTGCTGCTCTGCTGCTTTAGGCAATGGCTTCAGCAAGAGCAAAGACTAGACCAGGCTAGCACCATGGAGAGCTCAAGGGGGAGACTCCATAAGAACAGAGCTCAGATGTTGCTTCAGCGAGGACTGGAACATCTTGCAGAGGAGGAGCCAAAAGTTGCTGGTCTTTCAGCAGAACTGATAGAAAGATCTGGACGTTCCATTTCTCTCCTGTGTAGCTTGATGGAATGGGCTGCTGTAGATGACAGTTGAGAGAGCCCTTTTAGCAGAGCTGATGAAGATGCTAAGGATGTTCTAGGGACCCAAGCAGATATAATGATATGTCTTCTGAGATGCTGCTTTGTGGTTTTCCATAGGCATCTGGTTGGCCACTGTGAGAACAAGATGATGGAGTGTTGGCCTGATTCAGCATGGCTTTTCTTGCTTTCTTTTCTAATATATAAATTTTGTTCATTTAGTTTTCAAATGTTTACATGCTTTACCATCAACAGTACGTTTATTTTATCCATTAACTTCCCATCCCCCCCATTATGTTCTATGTTTATCCTTTAATGCTACATATTTTAACTTATTACATTCCATATATACATCCTAAATTATCAGCCTTGATGTCTTTCTACTGTTCTACTGTTGCTCATATTTCAAATCCTCCTTGTATTTTCAAACAATTATAATAGTTCTTTAGATATTCTACAAAGGGTTTCCAATCCTCATAGAATGTTTCATCATTTTGGTCTCTAATTTTTGCTCTTAGCTTGGCCAGTTCTGCATACTCCATCATTTTAATAAGCCATTCTTCCTTCGTTGGAACCTCATCCTTTTTCCATTTTTGAGCATACAATGTTCGTTGCATACATAAATAAATTAACCAACTTTTTCAGTATATTTGTTTCTATCACCCTAAGAGAGAAGCTTCAGGTTTCTTGGGGAACATCATCGTAAACATCTTCTTTATCTCATTATAAATGATTTCCCAATAGTCCTTCACTTTTTTGCAAGTCCACCACACATGGAAAAAAATATCCCTTCTGTCGTTTTCTCACGTTCTTATCTTCTGCTTTCACAGGTTTTATCCCACCTCCCCTGATCTTTGGAGCGGGGATTGATTCCACCTGCCTGTTCTGGAGCACGTTCTGTGGAGAGCAAGGAGCATGTGCTCTGTATGACAACGTTGTCTACAGGTACCTGTACGTGAGCATCGCAATAACCCTGAAATCGTTGGCGTTCATCCTGTACACCACCACTTGGCAGTGCTTAAGGAAGAACTATAAGAAATATATCAAAAACCATGAAGGTGGACTAAGCACTACTGAGTTCTTTGCCTCCACTTTGACCCTGGACAACCTAGGCCGGGACCCCATTGGCCAGAACCCACCACATAGGACAAAATTTATCTATAACCTTGAAGACCACGAGTGGTGTGAGAACATGGAGTCTGTTTTATAGTGATTATGAGGGTGGATTGCTAACCCAAAGTTCCTTTTTAAAGTTTAAAAAAAAAAGATAGATAAGATATATGGGAAGAAATGTAATATAATATACAAGGATCTTTTGCAAAATGGCAGCCGCCACTATATCTCAAAATCTACTGTGATGTTCCAGAACACTCTCATACATAGTTAGACGGACAGAGGAGGAAACTCTGTCCTTTTCTGAGAAGCAGGGCTAGACAAGGTTCAAGAGAACAGAGACATTCTTAAAATTTGGCATCAGAAATGGAGGTGTGGAGCTGTACCAAACATGTTGGCTGGTGGTGACATTATGGATGGGCAAAGCTCGCAACATTTTGGGATCCAGAGTTTCAGTAGAGAGCTGTCTGCCCTTTGGCATAAAGACAAAGAGAAAGTAAGAAGGAAAGAACGGAAGAAAGAAAAGCCTTTTTTCCAGAATAAGCGCCATTTGAATCTCAAGTACCGCTGGGGGTAACCTTTGCAATAAGAGCTAAAAGGATGCAAACTTGGCTGCTGTTTAGTCCCAGCATTCTCCTCTTACCGTCTCTGTCTTTGTCATCAAAGAGGGAGCCACATCGGAGTTCCTCAGCTGATCCAACTTCACCATCATGAAAACCACAATCCCAGAAGACATATCTAGGCAGCTGTTGAAATGCCCCAAGCCAGCCCATGACGCACCACCACTCAAAATGCACCAGCATCATTCAGTTGACATCTCTCTTTCCATTTTGGTATTGGGGGGGTAGGGTTTGAACCTGGCTGTGCCAGAATAAGGTGGGAAGGGGGGTGTCGGATGATCCATGCCGAACGTGCTGTAAGCTGGCCATTTTCCAACCTGGGACCTCTCCAGATATGTTGCACTACGACTCCCATCCGTCCCAGGAAGCAACAGCTTGGGCTGATGGGAATTCCAGTGCTAATACATCTGGAGGACACCCAGCTGGGGAAGGCTGCTGGAACTTTTTTTAAAAGTACATACAGATGAAGAAGACGTTTAAGGGTGAAGAGAGATGTTACAGTTTAAAAGTGGCAGAGGTGACATGCTTGCCCTTCCTGTATACCACGGTGCATTTTTGTATTTTGTCATAAGCTCTGAGGGGGAAAAACATATTTTCAGTGCAATTTGGGTTGAGCCAGGTGGAAAGTCAGAACGTGGTTGGACTGGGCTTGGTTGAGGGTAGCGCCTCTCCCCACTGCAAATGTTCATCCATTTGTACAAGATTTGTGATTTTTGTTTTTTTGGTAGGGGTATGGTGAATGAATATATATATATATATACACAGTGGTACCTTTGGTTACGAACTTAATTCATTCCAGAGGTCCATTCTTAACCTGAAACCGTTCTTAACCTGAGATACCACTTTAGCTAATGGGGCCTGCCGTGCCGCCGGCGCACGATTTCTGTTCTCATCCTGAGGCAAAGTTCTTAACCCGAGGTACTACTTCCGGGTTAGCGGAGTCTGTAACCCAAAGTGTTTGTAGCCCAAAGTGTTTGTAACCCGAGGTGCCACTGTATAGTGAGAATATATATATGGGTGGTGGGTTTGTTTGTTTGTTTGTTTGCTTATTTTTAAATACAAATCCTGATACTCAAGGGCAAATTACTCACCTCCATATGGGAAGCATTTTGTTTATCACTTAGGGCCAAGGGGAAATGCCTGCCATTTTGGCCCCTCTCTTCATTTGTGAGGAAATGGTGTAGGAAGTGAGCAATGAAATCAAACTGTTTCAGGGACACCTTCCTTTTGCTACATTTATCTCGCCTGTCTCTTAAACCTGTAAAAACCTCTCTTTCTCTGCGGTGACAAGCAAGGCCGGAAGGGAGGGAGGGAGACTGATGGCTACCAGCCACCATGATTTTATCCCAGAATGCCTGCTGCATCATTGTGAAATTTTGGCAAACAACTGGCTTTCACCTGTGGGAATTCTCTTGGTTCAGCCCACTCCCTAAGGTGACACTGTTTCTCTGCACATGTGCAGCTCAAAGGTCAACCACCCTTTTTCTACCTATGGTACCTTTCCCCAAACTAGCTGGCTGGGGCTGATGGGAGTTGGCAGTTCAAAAACATCTCCAGGCCAGTAGCTTGGGGGAAACTATAGTGCCTCTCTCACCAATGCGGAACAGCCATTCCTTGGTCACTGCTAGGTGACCCGTTTTTATTGAACATCCATCTTGATTTGTTTGTCGGGTGATTAGATTATGTTGGCTATTTAATGAGCATTCATTCTGATTTGCTCGGAGGGAGGTGGCCTTGCCTCAAAGTAAGTATTAGCCCACACTTTCTAGTGCATTTCTCCCCCCCCCCCACACACACACTTTTTCTGTTGCAAAAGGGCTGATTTGGGGAGAGAGGGAACAGATCGTTGTGCAAAAGTGACCTGAATTTTCCGGCCTGTAATTAAATATCACCCGCAAATACAGTGGCAGCCCAGGAGTGCACCAAAATCACACTGCAAGGAAGAGAACCGTTGCGAATGCCCCCAGGATGTGATGTGCATCTCTTTGCTCTACTTGCACTAAACTTGCCGTTGCACACACATCACACACTTCTATGCATTTTAGGCCTATGTTAAATTTCTTGCTTATTCCAAAAGCAGAAGTGTGTGTTTGTGTGTTTTTAAACAACAACCATCCCCTGCTCCTTCTTTATTAAACTCTCTATGAATATTTTCCAATACATTTTAGTCTTCCTCATTTCTGGATGCTCCATGACTCTTAACTGCAACAGAGAATTTCCCAGTGTAGATCCATATCTGTACCGGAAGTAAAGAAAGGAAGGATCACAAAAGATTGTTTTGGGACCAGAGTAGTTTAACCCTTGGCCGGGGGGGTGGTAATCTCCCCCCTCAAGTGAAGTTATCATGGGTGGGGTCCCATCACCAATTTTGACAGTAGCACATAGAGAGAAAATTAAAGGAGGCGAATTACCCTCTGATGATCAGATCAATCTTTTGATGAGCAAGATGGGGGCCAATAACACCCACAAGTCATCAGAGGACAGGGGGCTGTGCAACTATGTGAGAGGAAGAATGTGGGCTGACCACAGCCAGTTTTGGCCACAGTCACCACTGGCATGAGGTCCTCAGAGGGGTGGCCAAACATGAATGTGACTCTACACAACAGCCACTCCTGGTGTAGAAATACAGCAGAGGCTAAAACAGGTGCAGGGTCCATTATTATTATTATTATTAGTCATTGTTTTTCTCTTCTTCAGTACTTGTAAATCCAAATTGATTAAAACTAATATATTTAATACAGTCCCAGCAAGCTCAGCCGGAGTCAGCGATGATGGGAGTTGTAGTTCAGTAACATCTTCAGGGCCAAAGTTTCCCCACACCTGTTATCCAACAGCAAACCTGGCCTTGCCATGTATTGCACGTTCAACAAGGAGTCACAACCAGTCCAGGTTCTCTGATCCGTCCACATGATACATTCTTTTGGTTTCATTCACACTTCAGACACCTACCAAAAAGGAGTATAACAGCCTAACTGTGCCCCTTACGCTTTGCCATTTCATACCCCAGGTATTCGCAGGGGACCAGTTTTTCACCCAGCACGCAACTCTGCCATTGCATTTCACTTGAGGGTTCCACTAAAAGGACATTGCAGTCAGATCCCAATAAAATTGACTTGCGGGAAGGTTGGGAGTTAGTTCAATAATTCGAATCCATTCCCTACCCTGCAGGCTAAAGAGATATAGCCTTTCTCCTACTTAAGGTCTCTTCTGCCATGCTTCATCCTTGATCTGTTGAAAATGTAGGTCCAATGGGGGAGCTTCGGCACTAATTTGAACGTTAACTTAATTTTGCCTACTGCCATATACGGGGAAACAAGAAACGTGGGTCATCGTCACCTGCAAAAGGTTGGCTTGAACTGCAGAATGTGGCTTTTCTTAGCATAGTCTTCATCAACCTGGTGCCCTCCAGATGTGCTGGACTACTGCCTGGCTGTGCTGGCTTGAAGTTCTAGTCCAAAAAATCAGGGGAGGGGCACCAGGTTGGAGAAAGCTGCCTTTGTGAATAGTGCCAGCACCCCATCTCTGGGATCCTGGATTTGGTTGTTCTGGAATTTCCGGACAACTGGGTTTTCCTTGTTTGGACCATGGAGAAATCTGGAGAACACAAATGAGGTTGGAAAGTCCCTTTCCCAGAAAAGTGAAACAGAAGCAGAGCCCTGAAATCTGATCTGCTGCTTCCCCCAAGAGGGCTACAAACGTGATCTTGTGTCTTCCTGAGATATTTGTGAGCAATTCTTCCACTTGGACCACCTCTTGGCTGGTCCTCTGTTTAAAATGTATTCTTATTCATCCCTTTGGTGTGTTCCTCCAAGTTGCTCAAGGCAACATTCATGGAGTACTCCTACCCAAATATCACCACGAGCCAAGGCAGGGTGAGATCCAGGGACTTGCACTAGAATTCGAACCCAGATCTCCCCATTCCCAGCCCAGCATTATTTACTTAGGACCGCAGCCTAACTTAGGGACAATATTGGCAAGTTCTCTCTCTCTGCATGGTGGCAGTCAGACAGTTTTATTAGTTGAAGATCAAAGGTTATTGCAAAGATTATAAATCTGTCTTCTTCACTATACAGCTTTGGGTGAATGCTAAAAACACACCTCTTCAACCTGGTGTTTGCCACCTGAGATGTGTGTTTTCAGAGCCCACCCTATTTCCAAAACAAGACAGAAGTAAGCGATAAAAGGATTCCCAGAATGAAAATTAGCAACAGTTTGTACATACTTTGTTTTAGCATTTTATGAGCTGCCAGGTAAAGCAGGGATATCCTATACAAAATGATACATCTGTTGGAGTCTCACCGCAATAGGAAAGATCTTATCTGCTTTCATTTCCTATCCAGCATCTCTTTCAAAATTCTGTGGAAAATGTTCAGGCTGCTTTATGGACCGAGGTTGTCCATAGCACCATGCAATGTATACCAATTTTTGTTGTTGTTTGTTGTGATGTTGTTTATAATGGAAAGACGAAAAGCATATATACCCATTTCCAGCCATGTCTTGTGCAGGAAAAAGAAAAATCCATGCATCTTGAGTGCCGTTATGAAACGGCCGTAAGCAATAAGAAAAGTATCAGGTATAGCCAGCAAAGCTAGAGCAAATAATTTACTAAGAACAGGTTTGATTGTAACAATTTTTTCCCATCTGAAAGAGAGGAAATAATCATTTGCAAAGAGTTTCCCCAAAACTTCTCATCACATTGTTCGGTGCCATGCAGATATTTCATGAGGACTAGCGTGTTGGAAAAAATGTAGGAGCCAGTCCTGGAGGCAGTCACTGGCTCCTTGGTGCATGCAGCAGGGGAAACGCACAACGTGCGGTTATGGGCCCAGAATCCAGCTTTCATCAGAAGAAGAGCGAGTTTCTAGTCCACATGGGACATGAGTGGGGAATGCTGACAGCAATCTCTGAAGTGGACAAGGTGACTGACCCAAAGTTCCTAGCTTCAGGGATAGTAGGGTAGCTTATGTGTTGTCAGAGGACAATCCTCCGTTTGAAGGTGTCTTCCATTTGAAGGGCTGTCCAGTCTAAGTGTGGTTTAAAGACAAACAAGCGTAAGAAGGAGAGAGGGAGGCCTTGACGT